GTATTTTTATAAAAAAATAATAATAATAAATATTAAACAAACAAATGAAAAATAGCCAAAACTGGTCAAAATATGGTGTCGTACCTGACAGGATAGCAATACTGTGACATTTTAAGTTGGTAACCCCGCAGTCGATGTGTTCTTCGATAAGATACTGCACAGTGTGGTGTGTGATGAACGCTAAGCGTCCGCTCAGCTTTTAATATTCCATGCAGGCCCATGAAGACAGAAATGCATATCTTCGATCTTACTCTGGAGTCCTTTGCAGTTCAAAGGGAGTATTTTTGTCTACCTTAGGGGGCTTAGTCGCTATTCGTGCTGGCACAGGGAGCAAACGGTGTAATGTACTAACAGCTGTTGGTTAGTCCTCACACGGAAATTTAGGTTTGCCGAAATGTTAGAAATATTAGGCAGAACTTAATTAAATTCCATTAAAAATTCTATCCTTTTGAATACGGAATACTATGTGGTATCGCAAGCACTTACATACTTATTTTACAGGCATGAACACCAGCACTAAAAACTATCTTCTAAATAACTATAAAGCAAGAAATTTAAATTCTTTCTTTTAAAAATGATTTCAATTATTTTCGATTCGAATTCCTGGTAATCCTTCGCCGGCTAGGAGACGTGCTTGTTGTTCGCACAAAGCGCGTATGCGTCGACGTCTTAAGAGTGCCAGCAAAACAATTAAGAAACTGCAAACGATAACCGCAAATACAACGAGTACTATACCGAGGTAATAGGTCATTCTGTTTAGTGTTTTTTTTTTTTTTTAGTTTAAAAAGTAAGAAGCGTTACACACCGATGGCCGTGATAAACTAACTAGAATTTCAAATCGAAAAAATATTGTGTTTAATTATTGAAAATAATTATCTAACAGTTATCTAGCAAGTAACTAAAATAAGCTTAGGGTTTGACATGATTTGTGATAAAATTAATATCAAACTACCGAAAAAGGTTCTCACTCGCAGCTGGTTGAAAGGAATAAGTATGTAAGCGTAAGTGTTTGGTATGAAAATTTTAATTTTTAAGAGATAGCACAAGTTTTTAATTCCACTTAATACATACAAAAGTATTTGTATTTACATACGTATGTTTGTATGTATACATATACATTTTGGCACCGAAAATTTGATTTAAAAAACGACATTATATGTTTAATCAATTATACCCCCTAAATAAATAAATAATCGGTTCTGTTTTCGTGATATTTGTGTAAATATCCTTAGTACTTTCTGCTCGCTTACACTCTCTAGTTGTTGTTGTATATGTTCGTAGAACAACTCCGCGGCGACGTCGTTTCATACAAATTAAAAGTACTAAGAAAAAAATTAGTAAAAATATTAAAACCGGACACCAAAAAGCGACATAAACGTAAACCATATTTAAAAAGCTATTCGCTACTTATTTATTCATTAAATGGAACTATTCGTTACGGCGCGAGTTGTTTTCTAATACGAAAACTAGACACTGACTGCCAAAATATAAAAGCGCCGCAAAGGCATTGAATAGCAAATGGATAAATCATATAGGAGTGTGCATACACACATACATATACACATACATGTATGTATATATATATATATATACATATATATATATATGTACATATACAATGCTACCTATCAATTATCTTAGCTTATATTTTTTAGACGGATATGCAAACCGTAATGCATACGAAATTCGATAAATAATGGACGACATGCCTGCCTTTGAGGTATTTTTCGTAATAATTTGCGTGCTTTCACAATTCACACCTTTTGTAAGTTGTCCAACATTAATAATTTAATTGTAATTTCTTAATAAAAAATTAATTACATACATATGTTACTAAGTAACTTACAAGATAAATCCCAAATGGTAAATAGTTTCGTAAAACAACTGATCAAATGGAAATATATGGTATTTACAGTTTTTTTCCACTGAGCACAGGTAGATGCAAATACTATAAAAGAATAATTCTAAAATGCAAACATATCGCACGTTTATTAAATATCGCTAACTTAGAGTCAAAAGTTGCAAAGTCCGGTTTTTTTCAAATTTTGCAGCAGAGAATAAAAACATTTTAAACTCGTTTTTTTTTTCAAGAACTTGTTTCGCAAAAATTCAAATACATATGTACAAGACTTCTGTTCTTATGAGCTAAAACCACGCTACGCTAGTCAATTTCCACAACGTTAATGAAACGTTTTTGCATTCTTTGGAAGTTATCACATTTTCTGTGTCTATTTTGTCTCAGTAAAAATGCAAATCACGAAATAAGAACGGTTTGAAATAGAATAGATAGTTCGATCTCTTAGGAAACAATGAATTTGTAATTGTTTTTGCTACTTGCATCGAAACATTCGTTTTTAGAAGAAGTGAACTTAACCACGTTTCACTCTGAGCTGGCGATATAAAGAATAAATTCAAAATTAAAGTTGTTGGGGACTTTAACATGCAATTAATAAGCTTGATAAGGATTATCCTCTCAAAAACAGATGAATTAACTCACCAAAAATGGTGATTTTTTCATACCAACTATCTACATACAGACACACATACATATCGATGGATGTAAACTGATTGCATTTTCCCACAAAATAAAAATCTTTAATTAATGAGCTATATTATTAAATGAGCCATATATTGAATACTGTTAAGGGGCGATACTCTATAAAAGTTTCAGCTATATGGTTTTATGTAGCAACAATAAAAAAACAATTAAATAATTTAATTGCACTGTTATTAGATAATTAAGTTAATATGTAAAAAAAAATAAAATAAAAAAAAAAATGTACACTGGTACAGCGAGAAGGAAATTCCGAAAAATCTGATTAAAAAGGTGAAAAATTGCATGAAAATTCATTGAATTTTCGCGAGTTTTGCACAAAGTTTAGAAACTATATTTTTATGTTTTTTGTTGTAAAATGAACCATATTATAAAAAAAAAAATTAGCGGAAAAATAGGATTTTGTGCATATGTTAATGAAAATGTATATAGAAATTATGCAATGTATATAGAAATTATCAGAAATAGCAGTGTACTGGCAATTTTAATATTAAAATTTTTAACACGCTATATTTCTTTCGATGGTGAATTTTTACAAATAGCATAAGCACGCCCACCTTGAAAGTCTATTACTCATGAAGACTAGATATGGGTAACTCAGCACTGAGCGGAGCTATTGATCTGACTCCCAGGCTCAGTTACGGTCTGGATACTGTAGCCGCCTGTCCAGACTCGACCCCAATATCCCCAATGAGTGCCCGGCATGTGGAGAATCCCCTCATGACACCAACCACCTCTTCACATGCCAGCTCATTCCGACTCAACTGACACCCCTCTCCCTTTGGTCCGACCCCATTGAAACAGCTCGTTTCCTGGGCCTTCCGTTAGTTGAGTTTGACGACAATGATTGAATGTTGTCCCGAAATAGGCGGGGCTTGGTAGTGCCGCTACAACAACAACAGCTGACTCCCAGGAGTGTGTCGCACGCTCAGACTCACTTCTAAAAAAAAAAACAATATGTCTCAGTAACTCAATAAAAATTCGTCACATAGTCGGTACTCATAAAGAGAAAATTGCGAAAAATTGAAATGTTGTAAAAATGTACATTTCATTCAAGTTATTCCGCGCACCAGCTCTACAGTGCTCATCAGCTCTACAGCGCATGCCAACTCTATTCCTCTTAACAGCTCTACAAGGCAAACTAGCTCTACAGCGCTCATCAGCTAAACAGCGCTAACCAAATCTAGGCTGTGCTGCCTCGACAGCAAAGTGTCATAGCTCAATTGAAGGGGTCTAAGGGTCTAAGATCATTTTTTTAAATATAAGTTATTTGTATATTGTACACTATATGTGTTTTTTTGGTGACAAAGAGTAAACATACTTTGAATAAGTTAATTAACCTGCACTCATTTAGGCAAGAATCATTTCAAATGCATTTACCCAGAATTTACAATAAGTAATCAACTTTAACCTTAATTATCTCAAAAAAATGTCAGATCTACTTAGATCCTTTTGATGCTAACCCCTTCAATTGTGCCACTGAGCTGACTCATTAAAATTAGCTCGAGTCATTGAGTTAACTCGTGAAAATTCACGGAGTTACCCAGCCGTACTGGACACAACCCTTCTGCACTTTTTTCATAAAAGTTTCCTTTAAAACGTTTTATTTACAGACTGCGAGTCCCATTTTCGTTTGGTTACACGGAATTTTTTTTAGTTTTTATTTTTGCTACTGAACGCTTTTCCAGTAAAACCTTGAAAGAACATGTAACAATTAGTAATTTTTTAGACCCGTATCCGGTGAAAGGGTATCTCTGTGGGGTTAAACATTTCAAACAAAAATATGGTGGAAACTTCCTGTTGTGAGGACAATGAAAGTTCCAAATCCGGCGAACATTCGAGACAAAGATATTTGGCAGAAACTTTATGTTGTGAGGACAATCAAAATTTGATATCCTGCGAAAATATGTCAAAATGTATCAATCATTCAAAAAAAAAAAAAGAAACCAATTATGTAGGTGAAAAATGCTTGTTGTGAGGACAATAACAATTGCAATAAATATAAATTTTTAATTGTATTTTCTGCTTTTCCACGTAAAAATTTATGACTCAGAGCAAAGAGTGCGAATACAAAATCTGTAATAAGTAGACTTAATTTACGTTTGATATTTATGACACACAGTAGTGTATGAATGCGTAATGAATTTGCTATCAATTATAACGCTTCGCTTATTTTATATGTACTCAGTGGTATGTATGCAAAATTATAATAACAAACAAAAACATACATAATACGCTCGCTTAGAACCTGTATGCATAGTTTGAATGTAGATGTGCACCAACGCCATGGTAGATATTTCTTGGTACAAGCACAAAATAATTGTTCACTTCTACAACTATGACTTCTTTGGGTGTTCCCTTTAACATAATGCAAGTGTATGGATATATTTTTACCAAGACAGCGTTGTCTTCTAAGAAAAGTGACTGAAGTGTTATTTTTACTTACTGGACAATACAGCACCGTGTCGCTTTGTGGTGCAACAATAGCTGCAGCAGCTTATGAAGAACACCGCTAGGAATATGAATGTCAACAACCCCCAAAAATCCATTTCGTCAAAGTCAAAATATTCAAACGGATCCACTATGTCCGTGATGATGCGTGCACGATATCCGGTAAGTGGAACTTCCTCAAACTTGCGTTTTTAGCAATTGTCAGCTTACTGCAATCGTATTAACGCAGCTGCATTGAGAATAAAAACATTTGAGGATCTTAAATTATTTTAGATAACTTACAGTGGCTTTGTAGTGCAATTTTTCTTTATGGCCAAATGATTCTGCAATTGTTAACCTGTACGGGAGCTTGATGAATTTGATAAGATATTTGTAATCTGTAGCTTGTTTATTGCCCCTAGTTTTCGGGTTTTCACAATTTCGAGCAAATTCACAGTTCTGATTGGAAATTCGTGATAATAGACAGGTTGCATGGAGCTGTGTTTAGAGATCACAATTAGCATTTTGTATTAAGCAGCGAGCACAAAAACGACGGTTACGTTTTTGTAGAATCAGAGAAGGTAAATTTATAACGCCGGTTACATAGTGAAGCGGCGAAAAAAGCAAACAAGCAATGCGTCGATTACAAACGTACATGTTTCAATGGGAGCGCGCATAATGAGGGTCTAGGCATATTAAACCGATAATAGCAGTAGAGCAAACACAACCCTTTCATGTTTTTTTTTTTGTTGCTTGAGAAACCTAGAATATCAAAACAAAAAGATATGTAAACACGTTCGAGCGACGAGGTAAGTGGAAGGGCGCGGAATTGCTCAAGCGCGGGCAACACGTTTGTGCTCTCGTTCGTATAAGTAATTCAAGTTGGCGTTTCACAGCCGACACCAACAATTGTGTTCAAAAGAGTTGCTCTGTGTGAATGCGACGAGCAATACCACAAGAGAAGTTGCCGAAAATGAGCAACAAAAGTTGCCGTGTCTGAACTCAGTCTAAGGGACAACTTGTTACTCGAAAATTGGGTCTCTGTTTTCACAGCCATTTTCGGAAATGAAGAAAATTTTAGAGTTTGTGGTTATTTAAAACAATAAAATGAAGTAGCAAATTTCACATTTTTTAATTTTTGAATATCATTGCAATATCACGAAAAAGGCATGCTTTCTAATGCCCAGTCAACAAAGTCAAAGCAAAGAACGTAAAGGCCGGTCCACATAGACAGAACGCACGTTAAAAGTATGCTTGCTACAATGAACGCTTTGCAGCGAATGCTTGGGCCACTAAATTAACAGACTAACGACAGATAAATTAATATTTCATATCAATAATTGCACAAAAAACGATATTTCTTGCCCGCACTTGATTAGAAAGAAAAAAAAATATCTCACACAATTTTATTTATTTGCAACAGTTGACGAGCGACGCACGCGAAACGATGCCATCTTTTTGTTTTGTGTTGGCGTGAGCGTTGCCGAATTTTGGATATGTGGACCGCTGCATTTGAATTCATGTATTTATAGTCAGCTGTTGAACCAACGCCAAATCAACGCCAAAGTTCCATGTGGACGGGCCTTAAATCTATGTTTAAAATAAATCCCTGTTTAAAGAACACATCTTTGTTCAAAAACGGTTCCTTGCAGAAAGATTATCGCTCTTCGTAAACCATCCTTTAGACGCACGTATTTCCCGCCTAGTTTATTACAATTGTGAATGACGTCTAAAACGAAGAAGCATCAATCAGCTGGTTGCTAAAATAAAATAATTGCAAGCAAACTGGTTTTGGATTACACGTACTTATTTTTCATAATTCGTCCGTGCTCAAACAATTATTAAAAACTAATATCTTTGGTAATGTGATAATGCGATCCGGGCGTAAGCACAAGAAGAACTTTAGACGCAGTGGTTCAAATTACTTGAGCAACAGTGTGACTAGTCCCGCAGCTTGTTCACATACCACATTGAGAAATAAATCAAGAGGGAAACGAAAGATACGAAATCCATTTAAACGGCGACTAACCAAAAAACAAAGTAAAATATTATCAAAAAAGCTAAGGGGTAACCACGGCGACTCTATGGATTCAAGCGAATCTAGTCCTGACGTCACAGTCATAGAAGCTACTAGCGTTCCAATGGTATGTACATATCTAGGATAATTCAAATGAAATGACCATGTTTTTATTGTTTATCATTAGGTATGTTTTGCAACATTAGCACGTTAGTAAAGATATCATTTTAGATAGTAGATGTTGCATGTGTATGTATTTATTTTTCTTTGTTTTTGACAAAACCAGCGCGTGCGTATTAAAAATGCCAAAAGGATTGTCCAGGAATCACTTGGAGTTGCCAGCGCGGTCCTATTCGGACGTAACTTATGGCTTTAACATGGCATCAATATTTAAAGCTTAAACCGACGGCAGCGTTGATCTGGATTAACTCGGACTTAATCCGGATCAACTGCAGTTAATTCCCGAGTTTATCCGGACCTGCCGTCTGTTTATGCTTTTACCTGTTACTTTAAAGCTTCATATTTAAAGGTTACATTATAATTTATGGTTTTGTCTAAAGTAAAGCATTTTATTTTCGGTTTTAAATTAGTTTACAACCAAGTGACATACACACGTCAAAAACCGATAATAGAAATGCTTAACTCTAGACATGGCTTATTTTTAATTGATCCTTTAAATATAAAGTGAGCTCTAAAGTTAAAGGTTACTTCAGAAAACGGCTTTAATTGTAATCAAATTTATTGTTATTATTTATTTGTTTAATACATACCACACGTTTAATGAATAGATTTTTCTCCATAATTTTAATTTATCAAAAGCGCAAACGGAGTTCGATCAATTCGAATACATAATCGTACAAAATAAACAGATAGAAAGACATACAATTCGATACCTTAATATAGAAAGGCTCTATGCCACAATTTTGTTTCTTCAAATATAGTTTGAAAATTTAGCGAAAAGCAAAGTTCTACAGTTACCAAAATCGTCGAAGTGCTGATTTTATTAAACATAATAATTTTTATAACGCTGTATTATTTGTTTTCAATTTCTATTAGATATGTACATATATTGTGAGCTATTTGACAGATTTTGTATAGATCTGGATTCGAAATGAAAATGAGTTAGGGCCTTTCTATATTAAGGTAACGATTTGTATATTCGCCATCTTTCGGCAGTTAAGTCATATGTTAAAGCTGCCCATATTATCCTTATCAAGCTTACTAATTATATGACGAAAGCTCACAAAACGAGAGTTTTGAATTAATTTTCTATATTGCTAAAAATTATATATACATACATATATATATAATAAATAAATCGTAAATGTGTGCTCTGAAAAGTAATTTCTAAAGAAATCACCGAAGCGTGGCAGCTCCAAAAACAAATAACGGTTTTGCATCCCTATAATGTAGAAAATACCCAATCTATGACCCCCAACCCACTCAACCCTCAGCTAAACGAACTGTCAAAAAGTAAGATTAAAAAAAGTTTACTCAGGTTGAATCATCTTTATAAGCAGCACGGAAATAGTCTCCCGTATTGAAAAACAATCATTGATTTTCACAAGTCGCGGAAAATTCGTTACAGTAAAGCGTTTCCTTATTTAAAGCTAAAGAAAAGTGCACACTAGTATTTATAATTTTGTTAAGTGTATTAAGGCAAAAAAGTAAGAAATGGAAGTTTTGTGGCATAAGGCGTGTAACCATTTTGCAGTGCCTGAAGATGTTGCCAAAAGCTGGTACGCACGCATAAATCAACGTTTAAATGAATGTCAGTCAAAACGTTACTACCATAATTGGAATGAAATGATGCAACATAAACAAGAACATCTGCAACACTTTAAGCCTGCTCTGCTGCTGGCGGCATTCTTTCAATACTACTCGTACGATGGCATACAGCCTTGTGCGAAAGGAAATTGTGCAGCATTTGAAGAATTTTGTTGCGATGCAGCGCTGGATGATGTAAACGCTTTAATCATATTTTAAAATGTGTATACATATGTGTTTCATCAAACTCGTTTCATGCAGCAAGAATCGAAAAACTTAATATTGAAGCTTTTGGGTGATAATTCGGCTGAGAATGAGCTGTCCACAACATACGAAGATGATGCAAACTTACTGCAGGACTTAGATCTCGTTATACTGGCGTAAATATTTTTTAATGAAAACTGAAATATATCCTAAACTCAGATCTGTACAAAATAAATTTTCTTGTATATTTATATATAGCGCAAATACTGAAACCTATAAGCGTTATTGTCAACTACTGCGTCGAGAGTATGAACATATGGCTGACGAAGAATATAAAAGTATGCGCTTAAAGGTAATATAAATTTTGTAACAAAGTTGTTTTTTGAATAACTATTGATTCTTTTAGGTACTTCAAACGTTACTAAGCATACCAAATATATTTTCAACACCAGAATTTCAAACGCGTTATGAAGCTGCAGCTCGCTCAAATATGAAAGATGAAATAAATACACTCAAAGCATAATTTAAATAGAATTTTATGAAGGAAATCACCAAATATTTTTAAATCGATGTTAATTCGTGCGCGTGGCTTATACGGGTTCTATATAGCTATTCAGTAAATGTTAGCTTAAACAGTTCTGCGCATATATAGGTACTACATTGCGTAATCGTATTGCATACGAAAAACACTCAAATCAGTAATCAAAAACGAGACATTTAGAAGTCGCAACTCAATCAAATGAAAGTTAACTTATGTAATTTGAAGTATAATATGTATTTAGTCTAAAGTTACTCGCTTGTATGTATGGATTTAAATAATATTTAGCTAGTAATTATGTAAGTTGCGTTTGTGGGCTGCAGCAGTTTCAAATGCATATATAAATTATAATTAATTTTGTAATTATTTGCAAAAAATATTAATTTCCCCATTAGTTCCTTGAAGAAATAAATGAAGAGCGATCTCAATGGTGTCAAATTCAAAACAAACTACCAAACATCCAACCCACCTGTATATGCAGACCGACTAACTGTTTTTTTTTCGACTTCGCTAAACCACAAGGGCACAAACAATTCTTTGAAAATATTTAGTAAAAGCCTCACATATTATGCGTGTATTTATCTAATTTAAAGGAAACAATAATGTACAATAAATATGTTAAAAATAAAAACATGTGTTTTATTTAATCAGGGCTACTATCACTGAATCCATTGTAGTCCGAATTTTTGCGAAATCATATGCATACTTTGAATGCGTACGTTTGTAGCAATTCGGATTCTGTGATTGCATTTGCGTAGATTTCACGATAATCGGACTACGTGGGATTCAACGATAGCCCAGAATAACTATTTGCTGTCTTGGTAAAGTAATTAGAAAATCGGCGAGCGAAGGGAATGTATACTTTTCCTCACATTCGTGCTTTTTCATTCAGATTATTTTACCAAAATAGCAAAGATACATATACATATTAAACTTACATCGCTGGATTCATACAGGTAATTATGTACAAGTCGACAAGCTAAAATGTAAACTTCAAACTGCAAAAAAGTTTGAATAGTAAATTTTGTAAAAGAAATATGTAGCTTCATTGAGCAGAAAATTTGTGACTAATCCTCGTGGTCTTAAATAAACAATTCGCAAAAAAATATGCTAGACTGGATAACTGACCGTTAATTTCTGGTTAGATTTAATTAAAATTCCTTCAAAACTTTAGCTTGTTGTCTTAGCAGGTAAGTACGCTCTAGTAATAAAGGTATTTAGTTGCCGCTTTAACAATTATAAAATGTTTCTGGAATAACGTTTTTATTTTTTGTTTTTAATTTTTGCATTATTTAAGCCGAAAGTGGATGAGACACCCGTAATCAGGAATAAGCTCAAAAGCGTTGTGTTTAAAAAGTTTCGTGACAATACGGTATGAACGAAACATAAAATATAAAAGCGTTTATTACATATGGAATTATTTTTTTTATGCAGGAACGTCGCTTAGACTTACGTAAAAAAAGGCTTAACCGTAAATCTTTTGACGGAGATACAACAAGTGATAGCCAAAGAATAACAAAGAAGCTTTTGCGCTCCATAAAACGACGCCACTTACAGAACCCATATAACTTGATGCAAGTGCAGCGTGAGAATATGTTGAAACGTAGATTACATCTGACGAATACTTCTACAAAAGTACTCAAGCCAACTATATCGCACAATGTAACTATTGAAGAAGGAGAAATAATCTCTGATGATGAAGTCAATCATAGTCAAACCAAAAAAGCTCTTAATACTAAACCATCGGCTACCTCAGCTGTCGAAACTGATGATGACTGTATTTGTATTGAACCGCAAATAGAGCAAATTGTTATTGATGACGATTTGCCAGAAACATCTCGCTCTAAGCGCAAAAATAACATATCATCCGGTTACGTTTCTTTACTACAGGGCATTAATGACCGCGATAGTAAACACACTAATAAGCTAGTTACATCTACCCCGTATGGTGAAGGATCCAAGCGTCCAGCTGTGCGAAATTCAACACAATGCAATGAAAATGGTATTGGTGATTTAACCGGGCTGTTTTATGAAGATGTATCAATTATAAATCCGCTGGAGACTATAATTTCGGAAGATACATTCACCAATTATACCAAAATGTCGACATTGGTAGGTGAAGAGCGAAAAGCGAAGAAGAAAAAACGGATTGGAAATAAATCGCAAAAGCAAAGTGCTGACATTTCGAAAGACTTTCTTACTTTGGATGAGACATTAAAATTAGAAAACCCAAATGAGGAAGAGAACGAAAAGGAAGTCACCCAAACGGATGACTCAGTGATATTTATTAGTGAAACGGTTGTAAGATCAGACAAGCCTGCACCAATGATGGATTATGTGCCGCTGAGTAGTAATGATGTACCAAATGTAAGTTAACTTTATTTTACAATAACAAGTTCATCACATACATATCGTTACCTGAAATTCTAAAAATACGTAACAACATCGTAACTTAAATGGAAGAAGTCGTGATTAATATTTTTAATTTATTTTTCTATAAAATGATGTGGAAGTTGTAATTTGATGAAATCCACCACATCAATCAAAGACTGACTTTTGTATTTTTTATTAGTTACGACTTTTTGCATTTCAGCGACAATGTTTGTTACGTCTATTTGCATTTCAGGTAAAATTGTACATTTTTTTCGTATAACTGTGACATATAGCGCTTTTTAAGCCATTAGAATCGGCCTTAAGGGGAATGAATTAAAAACTCGAATTCCGAGATATTTGAGCTTATCGAGACTTTAAAGTTTAAGCAAAAATTCCAAATGTTTTGTACATTTTATTTTATTTTTTAATAATTATTTATTTTTATATGCAGCCAATTTTCGTGCCAAAGAGTCCGCCGCGTCCACCGAGACTAGCAGCTATAAAAAGTGGACTTTTCACAAACAGTGAAAAGAAGCAGCTAGATGCCTACAACGACAATACGTATAATCCAAATGCTGATGATCCCAAAGCACGGGAAAAACGAACTTCCAAGCGCTTAATACTCATCGATGGCTGTAATGTAGCCTTTAAGTAAGTTATTTGCACGCATTTGACATTACTAACTAGAACTCGTAACTAACTAGAAGCTAACTTAACTGTCCGGATATTTGAATATCTGAGTAAAAGAATTCCGATAGGCGGATATCCGAATATTGTGCTGATATTCAGATATCAGGATTTTCGAATTTAAAAATTAACACTAAAATAATTGTGTATCAAATTTGAGAAAGTTTTGTTTCTGCGAAACCGTGAAATGATAACATTTTTCATCACTTCTCAAAATACTACGATATGTTTTGAAAAATGAAAACAAATTAATTTGTCAAAAAGTTTTCACATGTGAAAAGATTTTTCACAAAGTTTTTTGGCTGTGAAAAAGATAAGTGGGACACTTTGCTCAAAAACATAATCTATGGACAAAGAATATCAGTGTGGTTGATCACACTTGCCTGGTTATTGGGTTATCTGGTTGCCTAATAACCAGGCAAGCGTGAACAACCACAGCATTTCTTACTCGCAATAATTAACTGAATAATTACCTGCTCGATGTTTATGGAAAAGCCTTTAACGATAGATAAAGTGAAAAAATCTAAAATCTTTACTGAATTTGAATTTTTCATTTTCACTTCAACACTTCATAGAACGGGAATTTTTTTACCCCATGCACATTTTTTGTATGTATAAATGCATTTAAAAATTTGTGTTATCTTTTCGCATTTTAACTTTAAATTTTTTTTTTAATTTTTTTTCAGTCATTCGCTTAACAGAGAATTTTCGGTAAAAGGCTTAAAAATTTGTATTGACTTTTTCGAAAAATTGGGCCATGAAGTCAAAGCTGTTTTGCCACAATTTCGTATGCACAGATGTTCCGATTCTGCTGCCATGACCGAATTACGTAACGCTGGTAAAATTGTGGTTACACCTTGTAAAAATTTGCCAGGCATGTTTTCTTCTAGCTATGATGATCGGTAAGTGCAAAGCGATAGACAACGCTTATAAGTAGTAATACAAATTTTGAAAAAAAAAATATATAAATGTTTTTTGTTTATAACATAAATGCAGTTTTATCTTACAATTGGCTGCCGAAATGGATGCAGTTATTGTTTCAAATGATAACTATCGCGACCTGATTAATGAAAATAGGGCCTTCAAAAAACTAATAGAGAACCGTGTTATTGGTTTTACCTGGTGCAATGATCTATTTATGGTAGCCAAAGATCCATACGGCAAATGGGGCCCGCCATTGCATATCATCCTAAATCGAACGTGAATCCAATATTCATTAAGTCTACTATAACCTAGTTTTAGGCATTTAAATTCTTATTTTATGTTAACTTTTTACTGTGCCTGTATATTTATGTAAAGCTTTTCATTTTTAGATTCATACAGATTTTTTTTTTTTATGCATTTAAAGAAAAAATGTTAATACAAGATTGAATTTTTATATATCGTAAGACATTTTATTGAAACAAAATAAAATGAAAAAAAAATGTAATCCAAATAAAATATAAAATTACTGTGTTTGCTTGATCGCCGCTTATTAACATTTTGACAGTGAATACATTCCAAAAAAGATGTCAAATTTACATATTCGGCCGGTGATGGGTTTAGTGCGCAACGTTGAATCTTAATAGTTTCTAGTTTGTTTTGTGAGACACTCTCTGCTAACTCAATAACTTCATAACTTCTATACGTGGTTGAATAATAATACAGACCTCTTAATTTTTTATTAGATGCATCTTGTTTTAAATTTTTTTTTTTTAATTTTTTAGTTGTATTACCTTTTTACTTTTCGTTTGTATAGTTTTCTTTATCTTGTTCATTATTTTTGGCATCTTTTATGCATTCTTGAGCTATTAAATTTCTTTGAATAATAAAGTACTGTTATGTGTTGAGTTTTGTATTTAATTATTCTGCATGAAATACACAGGAATTATATATGTATGGAAATTATGTTTTTTTTTTAACAAAATTTGAACCGTTTTCTAAAATGTTCATATGTATCATTATATATTTTCTGATAAATCGTACAGTATAGTATAGAAAACTTATGGTACTATGCTTATTGTAAATACTATATACATTTATTAACTTTATTCAGTAACATTGCATCAAGACTAATTGTTTAACATAAATACAAGTGTGTGTATATAAGTAGATGTAGCATAGTTATAAGGGTCGTCGTCTATGTACTTTTATCACTGCGACATCGGTTTCGGTGCTTCGTTGCTTGTGTTTATAGCACCAGCTGGATTAGCGCTCAAGTCTGTACGGCTTGCAGCTACTTCAGTTATACATGTTTCAATCGTTGTTGTGGAAGCAGTCATTGCCATAGCATTATCCACAGCACCCTCCTCCATTGCACGCAACTGTTGCTTCGCATCGATGTAATTTGCCATAGCATTCTCGTATGTTGGCGGATTATCCCATGTCGATATTGCTGTTCCTGCGCTGGCAGATTCGTTTGGCGTTACGCATGTGGCGGTTCCGTTTCCTTGAGCGCGTAGACGAGCTATGGGAGAGAATAAAGGTAAAAAACGTATTTAATTATGAGTATACACATTTATTTACTAGTTTTTTCTTTATTTAATATTTTCGACTTTGGCAGGATAACCTTTTATTCTAGTATCAGTTCAGTTCAGTTCAGTGAGTCAATAAAGTTTAGGTACAGCGATTTTTTTACAATACTGGCAACTATTTTTCGAAATTTTTTTATAAAAATATGGTTAATTACAATACAAACCCCAAAAATCAGAGTTCCAAACCTTGTGCAAAATTAATGAAAATTATGCAAAATTTCATTAAAATATTGCACTTTTTATTTACGCTCTCTAGAAAAATGTTGTGTATGCAGTTTTTAGCCCATTCAATTTTAGTATAATAAAGTGCAAGTTTGAGGTAGCTAGGACTTTAGCACTTTTTTTGTTGAAGGTGTCGCTCATTTTCTCCATATAAAATAATGTTTGATAATTTTTTTTTATATGGAAAAAATGTGCGACACCTTCAACAAAAAAAATTACCAAAAATCAATGGTAAGTTCTAGCTTCCTCATACTTGCACTTTATTATACTAACATTGAATGGGCTAAAAAACTGCATACTCACCTTTTTTCTAGAGAGCGTAAATAAAAAGTGCAATATTTGAATGAAATTTTGCAGAATTTTCTTTAATTTTGCACAAAGTTTGGGACTTTGATTTTTGAGGTTTTTGATGTAGAACTAACCATATTTTTATAAAAAATTAGCGAAAAATAAAATATTTAAAAAATAGTTGCCCGTATTGTAAAAAATTTGCTGTACCTAAACTTTATTGACTGACTGTATGTATATTTGTACATTAAGGTGCCTCACCAAAAAAAAAATATTTTAGGACTTCGGCTAAAATATTTTCGAAAAATATTAAGATTTACGGGAACTGAACCGATTTGAAAATACCTTCAAACATTTTATTATTTTGATTTTGTTGATACAATTTTTAGACATTTTTATGCAGACTTTCTAAGCTTAAACTCTTTTATCAACTGGGGTAAGTTTTAACCCTAATTTTATTTATAAAAAAAAAATTATTTTTTGAGATTTTTCAAATCGGTCCAGCTATGTAAATCTAATTGGGGTTTACTCTATACTGCGATTCGAAAAGCAAATAATTTGCACTCAATAATCGGCCCTATGAATTTATATTAGTCCGTGTCGGCTTTCGAGTCGCATTGGGTTTCGAATCGCAATACAGAGTAGACTCCCTGAACTATTTTGGCGGAAGTCTCACAATATATCTAATACATTTTACCTATTTCTTTTTTTACATTTTAATGCACACCTTCTAAGCTTAAACTCTTTTAGTACCTGAAGTAATTTTTTTGGTACAATTACTTTTTATATCTAATTTTATTTATAAAAACTAAATTTTTGGATATTTGCAGTTGTATTTGTTTATTAAAAAAACAGCGTTTTAAAGAAATTCGCAACTGAAGAATTTTGGTTCGTATGTAGCTTTTAGCGAAGCGCTAATCTGACGTTGTGAATCCGCATAACCAAAAATTACAACAATGCTAACCATATATTTTAATGAGCTAGCGCTGAAATTCACGATTTCAACGCTGCGAATTTTTCCAACATTCAATGTTCCTCTCTTTTGACGCATTCGAAACGCGGCTTGCAAAACTAATAGAAAACGTTCGTAACAATCCTATTCAATATGATATGGACACGCAGAATTGAATTGGTCAAGATTTAGCAGAATTTTTCAATGTCCCATGAAACAAGTTTATTCGTGTGATTTTAATTACCCCTCATGGGGTAATTTTGGGTACCAAGAATCCGTCTTTTTCGACCAGTGTGCTTTGTGTCGCTTTTGCATCGAGATGCGAGCTCTCCAATTTAAAATAAACGAAACATATTTTACGGGCTTCTAATTGAGTTCTGGAAAATAAAATTTTTGAACCAACCTAATGTACATATATACATAAGGCTGGGTAGCGGAAAAAAAACGCAACTACCTATGCTACTTTGGTGACTTAGTCAAGAGGAATTTCCCACCCCAACTGATTTTCGGGCCCAAATTATCCATTCGAGTGGGAGCTAGAAGTTTAAGATGTTCCGAGAAAAAGACCCTTGAAGTATAGGTTCCCGAATTAAATCGATTTTGGCCTAAAAATTTAATTTAAAAAAATGTGGCGTAGGGGAGCAAAAAGGAATTGGGGCTTTTGTTAATAAAAAAAACTATGCAAACACATCTGCATATTTCAATTTTATATAACCCAGCTAACCAACAGCATGCAAGTTCTTACCTGGTGAAATACATAATTCCGAATTCTCAGGCAACACAAAAACAATAAATACTATCGCCACTCAAATAAAATCACCTTTGTATGTGCGGATGCTCAACAAACAGCAGCGCTCACAAAGTTACCCAAAACATCCCATAATATGTAGTATGTACTCATATTAGCGCATCCATACCTACATACATACCAACTACTCACAGAAGCGGTGCGTCCAACTAGTACTTACTCATCAAGAGCAAAACGTATAAGCATTGCATTAGCTTGTCAGTCGGGTATTGTTGTTCGCGGCAAGCGCATGTGTTGTATGGTTGTGTTAAGGTCAAAGTCGATGCCTTTGTCGTCGTCATCGTTGTTCCGTCATCATCGTCGTCATTAACATTTTCAATTCATTAAATCGGTATCAAAAGTCATGTTAGCTCTTGACTTATAGCGCTATTTCACGTGTTCTTACATTAACCAACTGGCTCTCAACTTAAATACATAGTACGTGGTAGTGGTGACTCGAGCAAATTTTAACGATTTCACAAGTTTTACTTAAGCAACATATACTGTGTAAGTGAAATTCGCACTATAACCATCAGGTGTATTTTATTTATTTTATACGCGTATGTATTCGCTTTGTAGAAAATTCAATTCAAGTTATTCATTGTTTATGTAACCATGTAACACAGTCTCCGGTACCTATGCTGCACCTACTGGCACTGGGATTTGATAGTTATTGGGTATTGCATAGTGAGTTTTCTGCTGTAGTGGTTTTTGTTGTTCTCTTTGGCATGGCTTGGCATTGGCAGAGTGAAAGTCACGAAAAACAAACAATCGACAGCAACAGCGCGCATAATTCTCTGTAGCCATGTGCTACAGCAGCGCCAATAAAAATGTGTAAATGTGCAACATGGAGCGGAGTGAATTGCAATCAGCTGTTTGGTATGGCACGGAAATATACTGGTGTTCATATGCATGTGTACATATGTAAATAGGTTCGTTCGCGTAGCTGTTAATTGTTCATGTTTAACCAAAACTTACAAGTTTTTGCGTTCGCGTACGCAAAAAACTTGCAAAGTAGGGGAAATTGAGAGAGCAAAGTGACATTTCATTTTGAGGGGAAGCTGCTGGTTTCTGTTGGAAAAATTTTTGCCAACAGCAATTTGCCAACAGGAAAACAGCTGATCAAAAACAGCTGGTTGGCATTTACGCAAATCACAAAATTGAATTTGATGGTTTGGAAGTTAAAAATTACAAAATGCGACTAATTAAACTTGTAAGAAATAAGTAGTTATTTGTTTAATCAATAAACTGTGTCAGTATAACACTTTGTGATGACTTTTCGTACGTTTTAAATTTTACACTTTTGAATGTAAACAAAAATTATATCAGCTGTTCGTCTAACTTGCAAGTTTCTGCAAATTTTCTGTTCGCGTACTATTTTGGATATTTCTCTCTTGTGAGCGAACAGATGACATTTCGCCGGAATTTGGCAGTTGGTTGGTTTCTGTTGGAGATTTTAAACGAACGCACCTAATATTCCCGTTTAAGGTGTTTCATTACTTTTTTTCAATGTGAAATTTTAATGCTGTTATCAGGTGGTCACACATTTCATATGACTCGTAGTAAAAATTTTGATTGATTTTTTGATTAAATAACGATTATATNAATTTTTAACTTCCAAACCATCAAATTCAATTTTGTGATTTGCGTAAATGCCAACCAGCTGTTTTTGATCAGCTGTTTTCCTGTTGGCAAATTGCTGTTGGCAAAAATTTTTCCAGCAGAAACCAACAGCTTCCCCTCAAAATGAAATGCCACTTTGCTCTCTCAATTTCCCCTACTTTGCAAGTTTTTTGCGTACGCGAACGCAAAAACTTGTAAGTTTTGGTTAAACATGAACAATTAACAGCTACGCGAACGAACCTATCATATGGCTAGTACATTTTTGTGCGGCTCACAGTTCTCCCACTACAAGTATGTGCGTATATATGTAGTCATTCATTCAGATATGTACTGGTTATTAACCGACTTTACAAAAAGGAGAAGGTTATCAATTCGTCCGAATATTACGACGGTTAATAAAGTCATGTACATACATATGTTTGTAAATTGCGCGCACTTCGAAGCATTTTAAAGGACAAACAAATGATGAAAAATCATTATATCAATGCTTAGTGATAGTTTTATATGAAAAAAGCCTAGACAATTAACAGCTTAAAAGGTAAATATATGAAGATGGAAAAGCATATTTGCAACCAATAGAAAATATTACTACTCGTCGATTTGTTTAATGTTCAGGGGCTCAAAAGGATGTCTCAAAACATACATATGTATATAGGCCGTGTTATATATTAAATATAAGTATGTGTGTACATATGAGTCTTATATTTTATAAGTTATAGTAAACGGCTAATAAAAAATCTAACCTCTTGATTAGCGCTGTAACCATCCGCCTCATAGTGGTCGAGATAGCCAATCTTGCGTAAGAGAATTAATATCTTCCAAAATATTATAGCTATCGTCTCCCTGTTTTTTTTTCATTATTTAGGGCCGGTTGCTCAAAGCCTGGTTGACATTAATCATCGATTAACATAATTATCGATGTTTTCTACTCCATGTAACCGGCCCTAAGAGAATTAATAAGGAACAATTTGAAAACAGGTTTATTTTATAATTTTTTTATTCCAAAAATTTGAAATCAGTTTTTTTTCTATTTTAATAGATATGTATTTTCATTCTCAGTT